AACATACGCATTTTGTTCCACATCAGGACTCTTCTCTTGGTCCTTTTTAATCGGCCACGTTTCGGCCCCGGAAGCTGGGCTCACCACCATCCTGTATAATTTTCTTTTCATTCTCACACTATTTTCGTATCCCACAAAACTCTATTTTCCAGTTCCTCTAGCATGATATTAACCTTATTTTTTCGTACAATGCCCCATCTGGTGACATGTACGAGTCTAAGTATTTGAAGGTGTTAGGCCTTTTCACTCTTTCTCCTAGCAACCGGACATCCTACCCTGCATCTTCCCCATTTAGAAACTTATAATTCGTGTTCTTTCGACTAACCTTAAGCCTTCTTTCCTCCATCTGTCTTCTCCATCCTTCAAGCTTCTGCTCAACTCCTTCCCTGGTGTGTTTATCAGGACTATATTGTCTAAAGATAACATATCCCATGGAGCTGGTTGTACTGTTTCTGGCTTGAGTACATCCATTATCAAATCAAATATGTATGGGCATAAAGACGAACCTTGATGAATCCCAACCTTAACTTTTACTAGTCTTACATATTTTTATGATACTTTTTTTCTCTCATACACTTACACATTTCTTATCTCGGCACTCTATCATATATATATATATATATATATATATATGTGTGTGTGTGTGTGTGTGTGTGTGTGTGTGTGTGTGTGTGTATGTGTGTATATATTAATCTATGAGATGTAGCTCCTACTTCTCCACCTTAAAGCAAAAATTGCATACGTTGTTCCCCTGCCCAACTAGTGTTCACCAATCCCCGTTTGACAACTTATCCTTTTTTCAATTATCACTTCTATTTTTTCTCATTGTATTTGGTATTAACCTACTTTCCCGATAGTTCCTACAGTCTTGGATATCTCCTTTGTCTTTGTATATTGGTATAATCACTATCTCTCCCCATGTATCTGTCATTTTTACTTGATTGTAAACTTGATTCATTAACTCCCATACTACATTCACTCCCTCCACGCCTAACTTTTGCACACTACTGCCGGTATTTCAAGAGGGCCGTTGCCTTTCCTTTCTGCATCTGTCTCGACGCCCCTTTAACTTCATGTCTGTTTATCTCTAATGTTTCACGATCAGTTGGTGTTCCTTTCCCGAAACCTATTCTTTCAATTTCTTTCAGAATATTTGTTCCACTTGTTCTTAATATCTTTAACTCCTTTCAATGCTCTCACACTCCATTTTTTGTCGATTTTTTTGTTTCTTGATTGATGTGGACAAGGTCCTTTGTCGCTCTATTCCGCCTTTTGCCAACCCATAGATCTTCTCTCTTCCCAGTGTTTCCAATTCTTCTTTCCTTTACCACTCTGCCTTTTCCTGTGCCGTTGCTCTCTTTGCCTTTTTCTTTTTTTGCCATGTAATCTACCTGATTTTTCAGTCCTTTTCTTTCCTTTTTATTATTCATAATAATAATGATGGTAGTAGTAGTAGTATAAATGACAATAATAAGAATGATAATCATCATAATGTTAATAATGTTAATAATAATGACAGTAGTGAGTTAGGGTTTGTGATTTCAGTCAACGTGTAGTTGGCTATTTATTGTGCTTCAACATTACCCCCTGTATGGAAGGAATGGCCGGGGTTACCATGCACTAAAAGTGGGGGACTTGAACTCAGGTCAGCCAGACTGTATTACGACAAAGCTACCATTCGATCACATAAGTAAATTGTCAGAGAGAGAGAGAGAGAGTATGTGTTTGTGTTTGGGTATGTGTGCGTAAATATACGTCTGTTTGTCTATATATGCATGGGTGTATGTGTGTATGTAAAGAAGTCGTGAGCCTTTCTTTCCAATTAAGGCATCGAATCCTTAAACATATTTATGTTTATAGATTTCATATAAGAATAATACAAAATATATGATAAAAAAGATACATGAAAATGCTGCTGCTGATGACGTTGATAATAATATATGATAATATGTAATGCATATGATCAAAATATTTTCATATTAAAGTAGAATGTCTGCATCTACTACAGATGAACAGAAACTGAAAACACACAAGAAAGGCTCAATAGATATTGATATTTAGTTTATTAAAAACAAATGCCTTTTTAACAACTACACAATCTGAAGTAAAGTGCAAGATCCAAATAATGAGAGAGACGGAAGGAAAAAAGAAAGGTCTTAACATTATCACCTCCGCATTTATGTGTATGATAGCCCCTTAAAAAAAAAAAAAAAAAGCAGGTCACGAGAACGGACATTTCATTACAAAACAGACACATGCACACATGAAGATGATTATAAACGTAAAACGAGCATTTAAAGACCAACCGCTTATTGCTGAGGTCAGAAACAGGAGAACAATCTGTTAATGGGCTGATGATAACAATAATTTCCACTCACCCCCTGCCCCCATCTCCTCCCCCTCCCTACCCCGCGAAACCAGGCAATTAGTTGAGAGTTCACCTGGAGTAATTACGAACCATTATCTAATTACATGGTAACCAAAGACGATAATTAAGCCTCAAACTTGTAACTTTTTCGACTCTTTTCGGGACCACGTCACCCTTTGCAGGAAGGGGGACACGGAGGCGGGAGAGGAGGAGGTGGGGGTGGAACAGAGTGAGACCAGGAGCAGTTGTAGGTGAGGAAATGTAGAGGAATGAATTGGGAACTAGAGGAAGAGGAGGAGATGATGGCAGTGTTGGGGGGCGAAGAGGAGATACAGAGTAGGAAAGTCAAGGGAAAGCTGGAGGACGAGGTGAAATGGCGCGGTGGCGAAGCAGAGGGCGTTGATGATGGCGGATGGAAGGGGCTGCGCGTTTGATGACTTAATGTGTTTATTCAGTGATTGTGGCCGATGCGCCTCTGTTTGCTCTCGCTCTTTCCTGTTCGGCTGCTGACCGCCGTCGTCATTTTGCGCGTCCTCTCTCTACCCACGTGGCCTCGCTATTGGTTTTGTGATAGTCCTCGGGCTGTCAGTTAAATCCCCACCTTTCTATTTATACGTCTCTTATGCATAATTCGACCGTCTTTGTCCCTGCATCTCGCTCTCTCTTTCTCTACACACACACGCACACACACACACACACACACACACACACACACACACACACACACACACACACACACACATACACACACATACACACACATACACACACATACACACACATCTACAATTTGCTATGGATTTATGCCTTGAAGAGTCATGAATTACAGTCTCCCCCACTGTTAGAAGCAGCCCCAGGCACCTCTACACCAGTTAAGACTGAGGGCCTCACCTTAAAGTTTCGGGAAAGGGCTGGTGGCGATCGCCTAACGATGCTCCGCTAGGCGTTAACGAAAGCCAAGTTTACCACGAAACAACACTTTCGGCAGACGATCCTTGGCCCTGTTTTCGCTAGATTTACTATCGCTAACTTTAAACGATGCGAGGAATTTTAATTTGTTTACCTTGTCGCACAAGTTACCATGGCTTTCACAGATACTTGAAAGAGAGTTTCCCCAGTTTTTGCCACAGATAAAGACATTTTAATAGAATTTGTTAAAGAGCCTTTTGAGATAATTGGTGAAAAAAAAAACACAGAGCAGAGGCTAAAATCCCAGTCTGGCAGGAAATCGCCGAAAAATTTAGCAACAAAACTGGGTGCATAAAGACTGCAAGTGAGAAAAATCTAGGAAAACATCAAATATAAGAAAATTTACATGCACTATCACAATATGAAGCATTGCATACGTAATCATAACACATATAAAATCAGTTAACAAAGTATCTGATCACAACCAGCCAAGTTGGGTTTACGAAATCTAGAAATAATTTCGATTTCCATTAATTTTCAGAGCTAAAAACAATTATGGAAAATTTTGATTTGAATAAAAAGAAAAACTAAATCTGGTAGTGGCCCACCGCCTACACCTATAGATGAATGTGCTTCAGAGGTCCTCATGATAATTCAGGGAGAATTTCAGACGACTCTCATATAAAACATCCTTCATTTACCCTAAAGATAAATGATAGAGGTGAAAACAGGAACTAAAGCTCTATTGAAGTGACTTGCGGTAACTGATGACACAGAATTAGAACTTATTAGTGGACCTTTCGACGTTGAAGAGTCAGTAGAAAAGGAAAGTCAATCCATAAGAAGCAGAGTCAAAGCTGAAAAGCAAAAATCACAAAATCAAATATCTTGTGCGATTGAGCAGTATTATAAACACAAGGTGGACTGAGTATGAATATGTTAATAGCTAAGAGGATGTTTAGGGAGAAGGAACTGAAGGAGTTGATTTCCTACAACCCCAAACATACTATAGTTACTATAATACGGGCAAATATTATGATGCTATTAGTATACAACTTATTCAGCTTACTGCTTATGTAAAAACAAAGAAAAAACAAACAGACAAAAAAGCAAGGATACAATGATGGTTGCAGAAACATGTATAAACCACACACAAATGTATATACATACATATATAAATATATATACATACATAAAGACATACTCTTATCCTGGTACCAGGATTATGTCCCCAGTCTTTGTGCTCTTTTTAATTTTTAAGCGGAATATTTTACGATCTAAATCTTATCTGATATAAACATTTGTTATCATGATGTATTCATACATTTTATAGTTTTACACCATCAGATTTTTCACAAACCATTGAGAAGTCTATGGAAGGGGCATCCATGTCCTTCAGACATACTTCAAATAGTTGCAAATGTACTTGCAATAAGTAGAATTTTGCTGTTGTTTTAAAAAGGAAACAACATTATTTTCATTAATTGTGATCCATTATATGCAAGAAACAATCAGTTGTGCATATCACAGACACCATGAGGAATAGTATAATGGACTGATAAAAACCAAGTAACTGCCGTATGCTTAATTTAACAAAACAGTGAAACAAACTTAAGAGTGGAGTTTTGGCATGAAGCATTTATGAAAAATATTCAGTAATTATGTCTGTTCTGTCGAGCGTCAGTATTCGCAAAGTGTTCTACATCTCCCTACATATTTACAG